AGCCCCGGAGTGGGCATCCGGTCCCACAGGGGGTGTACCTGGCTCCCCAGCAGGTAAGGGCTCTGGGAAAGACCCTGCCCACCTGCCTCAGCCCCTAGGGATCCCACCTGCAGGACCCCTGGCTCTGTGGGCAGGCAAGCGCTGTGCTGGCTGAAGGGGCAGCGGCAGGGCATCTGCTGCACTGACACACCTCGGGTCCTGAGAGCCAGGCCACCCAGCACATGCCCGCCAATGCCCCCTGCACAGGCAGTCGTAGCTCAAAGCTGCCTGGACCCTTGGGAGTCACCATGGAACTCGGTTGGCAGGGCCGGGGCAGCTGATAGTGAACCAGCTGGAGAGGAAGCCAGGACCGAGCGTGGCATTCTCAGATGGCATGTCCCAGGGGAGCCCGAGGGTTTCTGGTGCCACACAGGAGCAGGGCCTGCCAGGCCAGAGCTGCCCCCCAGGGTCCCACAGCCAGGCACTCCATGGGGAGCCGTCCTTGTCCCTCCTCTGGGAGGGACCCAGCAAGGCTGGCAGCTCTTAGGAAACAAGGGCGTCAGCAGCACCAGGGGAGGTGCAGTGCCCGGTGCAGGCCAGTCTGACCCCACCCGGTTTGGGTGGCAAACGAAGGGGCCTTGACCTAACTGCGGGAGGCTCAGGGCCTCCTGCCACCCAGGTGCCAGCTCCTGGGCAGCCCCTCCAGTGATGGTGGGCCTGAGCAAGCCATCAACTGCACCGTAAGGGCCCCACCAGGCATCCCGTCCCTGCCCTCCCTCTGCCTGGAGCCTTGCTGTCCTCTCAGCAGCAGACACCCACCTCCTACGCTGTGTCTAGGAGGGAGTGCAGGTCCTGAAGGACCCTTCCCAGGACGCCTGCCCCAAACCGCTCACCTGCTCAGGAGTCCCCAGCCTGCCTCTGCTGGTGGCTGGGCGCCAGCAGCTCTGCCTGCGGATCCAGCATCCCACTCTGAAAGACATGCCTGCCCAGGGCCCTCCCAAAAAGCCCAGTGCCCCCCTTCAACCCACACACTCTGGGGTCGGGGAGGCCTCCTTTGGCTCCCCATATGGCAGGAAGCAGGGCAGGAACTGGGTGGCCAGCGGGCAGGGCTGTGGACACAAGGATGCCACCTCCAGGCCTGCCCCAGTCCCCCTGGCCTCCTGGGCCCAGCTCCATTTTTTTATTTTAGAAAGTGCTTCTCACTATTGAATATTCACCCTTGTGAGGCAGACCTGTGGTTCCCGGTGCCTATTATGGCTGCCAAGAAAAAGCAAAACAAAGGGAAACCTGGAGGTAGAGGCAGGGTGGGCAGGCCTTGATAGAGATGGCCCTGCAGGCTCACAGCGTGACCAGACCCCCGGCCAAAAGGGGCAGCTGCCAATCGCGTGGGAAAGGGGCAGGTCAGGGGGCGTGGTCAGTTCTGTGTCCAGCCGAGGCTCCCTGCCCACACACAGTCCCTCTGGGCTCATCCTCCCCTCCCCTCTTGGGGCTCAGCTCCCTCTGTTTCTCCCTCCTCCTTCGCCCTGCCCTGCCTCATCCCTTCCCATGGGGGCTCCCCCAAAGCCCCTGGGCCTCCTCAGGGCCCTGGAATTCAGCCCTCCTTCCTAACAGCCTGGTCCCTGCCCTCTTCACCCTTAACTCTCGACCCCACCTGCAGGCCCACTCTACTAAGCCACTTGCTGCACCCTAGCCAATGGTCTCTCCAGGACTCTTGCATACGCTGCTCTTCCCATCAGGTGGCCCTTCCTCCAGGAAGTCCTCCCTAACTCCTCCATGCACCTCAGCCTATACTGATGACGGAAGCCATACCTGGCTCACCTTTGCTGAACAAACAGTGGTGAACCCGGCTTCCCAGTGTGCGACCTCTCAGGGCCCCTGGGACACACAGACGGACAGAGAGGTGGGCAGGCAACCCCCTTCCATTAGCCCTAAACATAGCATTTGCTTCCTCCTACATTCTCAGAGGAGCCCAGACAGAGGACCAAGCTGGAGAGATCTGGGCTTTTCACTTCTGGGGGAGAGGTAGGGGCCCTCAGATGGCCAGGGCCCCCCCCCCCACCTGTGTTTCTCTTCCCTGGCAGCTCCACTTCCCTACCCCCAGCTTGAAACGGCAGCCTTCAGCAAAGGCAGTCAAGGGAGGAAGCATACAGAAAGGGTGGGGGTCTGGAGAGCTAAGGGTAAGCCCAGGAATCCAGAAGACTTCCTGGAAGAGGCAGCTCCTAGCCAGGCCCGGACAGAGTGCTTGGCCAAAGGGACAGAAGGCCACAGGGTATTCCTGCCACAGGCCCAGCCACAAGGAACCCAGGTGCCCAGGTGGAGTGCACATACCACTTCCAGCATGCAGGGGCTTTGGGGCACTGGGCCTGTCCTTCCCTCCTGAACTCCACCCCTCCCCTTTTCCTGAGGCCTTAGGGCAGGAGCAGGGCTGTCCACCTTCAGTTTTCCCACCAGAAAGAGCTGGGGGTGCTGTCAGGAACACATATGCCATCACCACTGGTGGCTTTGAGAATCTGCTTCACTGAAGTGTCAGGAGAGATGCTACCCACCCAGGGTGACCCCCACTTCCTCTTTCTTGGTTCCCACCTCTGCCACAGCTGCTGCTCGGCTGGAGAGGGGCACTCGAGAACGCCCCTGCCTAGGGCCCTTGCTTGGGGCAGGGCAGACTAGGCGCCTCCAGCCATCAGAGGTGTGGGGCAGCTGCCCTGGCCTCACTGCTCTAGGACTCAGGGTGCCTGTCTGCAAAATGGGGCCAGGCTTCCCTCTCTGGAAAGACCCCAGGGTCGCCACAGCGCCCCGCTGGGGAGAGACCACCCAGATGCCCCCTCCTGGTGTTTCACTGCACCTGGGGCCTCCCTGAGCCCTGTGGGGCTTCTTGGGGTGGAGATGGGGGGCCCAAGGCCAAGCCAGAGACTTGCAGGCACAGGGCAGAGGCCCAGGCCAGGAGTAGGGAGCTCCCTGTCAGTCCGGCTGCCCAGGGCCCAGCTCTGCCTCAGCAAGGAACAGGCTGCCGCCGAGACAAGAAGGGATGTGACAGCCAGAGCCTGTCACAGGGGCACGTGGTTGGTGCCCCGGATGGGGGCGGTGCACCCAGGTAGAGCTCAACCACACCAGAATAAGAGGTGGCCTGGGAAGATGGGGGCAGGGAGGATTTGGGGGCTCTGCCTGAACTACCCAGGCGTTGTGTGGCTGGGGGATCCCTGTGCACCTGTTCCCAGTGAAGCCACCAGGGGCAGCCTCTGAGGGCCAGCTGGATGGGAGATGGCTCCCTCCCCCTGGGCTGGGGGCAGGGGCACAGACAGGCTCTGGGAGGGGTCTTCAGAGGACCTAACATGGCTGGCCCAGGAGGGCAGGTTTGGACTGAGCAGAAAGAAGGGCAGGGGAGGGCCTGCCAATGTCTGGCCTGCTAGGAGGACACTGCGGCTGGAAGAGCCCCCAGGGGGCCTGATCAGCAATGCATGTTCCTGGACCTCCCGTGAAGGTGGGCAGCAGGGGGCCTGGGAGTCCACAGGTTGTACAGAACCCCCAGGGGCCCTGATCCGGCAGGTCTCCTACCCACACCCCGTGAGTACAACTGAGCTCCTTTCACCAGGGGCAGATGGTTCTGTGGGCTGGACACGGGGTGTGGGGGAGGACTGCCCAGAGGCCAGGGAACCACGAGTCACAGCAGAGAGGAGAACCTGAGCTGGGGAGAGGCGCCCAGCATGGGCCACTGCGAGGCGGGAGGGTGGATGAGATGGCCCGACAGCCTGCAGCCTGGGCCTCTGGGCCCCCTGGGAATGAGGAAGAGACCAGTGTGCAAAGGGGGGGCAGAGCACCGGCCCCAGGCCCCTCGGGTCCCTCTCCTCCCCTTGTGATGCGATGTGGGCAGGGCCACCCAGTCAGGGGGAGCGGACAGGGGCCCACAGACCCACAGCCACCATCATTCTCCTACAGGCTATCCAGGGAACACCAGGGCACTCTGGGCCCCATCTGGGAGAGGGTGGCCCCAACAGGAGGTCAGCTGGACTTCAGTGCTCACCAGACAGGAGGGGCCGCGGGCCTCCCGCTGCAGCTGAAGGGGTGCACCCAGGCTGAAGGGTGACCCCCTCCTCTGCAGCAGCAGTGCCATCATTACTATCCATCTCTGCTTTCCCCAAGGAGTGGGGTCCGATCTGCACCGACACAGCGTGGCCCCAGCCCCCCTACCAGCAGCTGGCCAGGTATCCTGGGTGTGGCCAGGCTGCTGCGTCGCTGACCAGTGCTGGAGAGACTGCCCCTGCCACACCCCACCCTGCCCTCCATGAGGCTGAGACACCCAGGCCCTGGAACTAGGCCCAGTGCGGGACAGACAGATAGGGAGCACCTGCTTCCCGTTCTGTGGCAAGAGGTGCACAGCGGGAGGGGTCCTGCCCCACAGGCAGCACCCACCTTTCCTCACCCGGCACTGGGGGACTCTGTGGCCTGAGCTCTGACCCCACTGAGGCCCCCTCACCAAGCCCAGATCCCAGGTCTAGCCCTGCCACAGCCACCATCTAGCCAGTGAGCCTGCCACAGAGTAGCCACACCGCTGACCCAGCCTAGCCCAGCCTGGCGGTCCTGGACCAGGGCCAATTGCTGTAACTCCCGCCGCAGACAGGCTGCTCTGCCCCAACACGGGTCAGAGGGCAGGCCTGGCAGCAAGTCTCCACAGTCCAGTGACCCCGCAGTCCTCACACCCCACTCCCACCTGCGGCCCTCCCCAGGCGGCCACCTCTAGGGACAAGGCAACGTCCCAGGGGTTACAGCAGGGGGTCGGTGACAGAGGGAGACGGACAAGGGCAGGGAGCGACAGGGTGAGTGGCAGAGATGAGTCAGCGACAGGGTGAGCGGCAGGGCGGGGAGGGGTGGGAAGCGGGCGAGTAAAGGCCAGAGGCAGGAGAAGGCGGGCCGAGACCCAGCAGTCCCCGAGGCGCCCCCCACCCGGCCGCGCTGCGCACGCCCAGCGCCTCCCGCGGAGCCCACCCGTCCCAAGGGAGCGGGCTGCAGGCGGGGAGGAGGCGCACCGCTGCCGGGGGCTCCAGGCCAGGTGGGCAGCACCATGTGGAAGCAGTCGCACATCGCGGCGGCCTTCGTGCGGGCCGGTAGCGGCCCGTCGTGTCCGGTCGCGGGTTCCCAGATCCGGCGCGCGGGCGGCCCGGGAACGGGCGGGCGCCGCGCTCCACCTCCCGCAACACCGCGCTGCCGCGACAGCAGGCCTCGGACTGCGGGCCGAGCCCCTCTCCAGCGACCCCGCCGCCGCTGCGGGACCCCGCCCAGCCCGCGCGGGCCACTGCGGAGCGAGCTCGGGCAGCGCCGCCGGCCTCATTCAGCCCATTGGCTGCCTCCCCGTAGGCCCCGCCCCCGTCCGAGAGGCAGGGCCCGCCCCCGGTCGCCAGGCCACGCCCCGATCTCATCAGGGCCCCGCCCCCCGCGTCCCCGCTCCAGTCCGACTCCCGCCCCAGGCCCGCCGCCGACCAGCCCACACCCGGGCTAGGCCCGCCGCCCGCCCACGGCCGGCCCTCCCAGGGACCAGAGTCGGCTTTGGGCGCCTGTGTCCCCGCGCTGCGCGGACGCTCCTGGACCCTCGCACCGCAGTCCCACCTCCCAGTCCGGAGATGGACATTGTAGCTCCGAGCTGGGGAGTGGGACACCCTGGGGTAACTGCCAGGGATCTGACCCCCGCGGCCTCGCCCGAGGTGTGGTCTGCGGGGTAGCGCCTTCAGCGGTGGGCGTGGCCGACAGTCTGGACTGGGACCTCAGGATTGCGGGAAGGGTGTGCGGGACAGGGGCAACCGAGCAGTGTGTGCGCGGAGGACAGGGAAGGCCAAGGCTGAAAGCTGGGCCCCTGGTGCTGCGGGAAGGGCGCCGGGGGCAGCAAGATTGGGCGATGGGAGATGAGGAACAACCACCCTGTCTGTAGAAGCACTGCTGGAAGCCTGGAGCCCTGTAAGGGGGCCCATCTGGACCATGTGGGGTGGGAACAAGGGCCCAGGATGCCCGACGCCTGCAGAAGGGTCTTGGTGAGGGCTGGAGTGGGGCTGGTTGGAGTCCTGAGTGTTGTGCAGAAGGGGCACTCTGAAGGGGTGGGGAGGCCCAGGCGAGCTCTGTTTTCTTGAGGACAGGAAGTTAGCTGAGGCCCAGCGCAGTTACACCTGAGGAGGGACACCTTGGGGGTGGGCGTCCTGCTGGGCTGGGGCTGGGGAGCCCTGGCCAGAGCGAACCAGGGGGGCACCATCACTCCAAGCAGGGCCGTCCCAGGGGACTGCCCGGGTAAGGTGCTGGCGGTGCTGGGACCATTAGACACACACGTACACACGCACCTTTTCCTGGGGGTAGTAAGAGGCCAGGCTGCGACAGGAGGGCCACACAGACCCACACACTCACCAGTACACAGAGGGCTGCCTGGACGTGTCCCCATGCATTCGGAGACAGGCACACCCATGCTCACACATGCCTGGGCCCACACACACATGCATACTCACACATGCCTGGGCACACCTATACTCACACACAGGGCCCACGTGCCTGGCTATGCTCAAGAGGACACAGACACACACGCGTTCACACAGGCACACACTGCTCCTGGCTCACTTGGGGATGCACACAGCCAGCAGGGCCCAGGTGAGCCTGCCCAGAGGGATGACTCACTCAGACAGCAGTTCCCGTTAGCCGCGCTGCAGCCAGGCAGCTTTCCAGCAGCAGGTCAGACAGACACGCAACACTGCCGAGAAGAGGCCCTGGCAGCGTCCTGCCCCTTGAGCTAATGGCATGATGGGGCACAGCCTTCTCCTCCAGGTGGGTCTCACCCTCCTGCCCCAGGGTCTTCTCCGTCAGTCTGGGAGTCAGTTCCTTGCGGAGACAGGGAGTGGGGGCTGCCTGTGTTCCTGGCTGCCCCAGCCGTCCGTCGGGGGTCCCAGACTTTCTGTCCTTTGTGTGTGTGTCTGGCTGTGGGGGTCTGGGTGGTCCTTGAAGTCCCCTGGCTGGCTAGGGCCTGGGGCAGGGACCTCCCTACATTCTACCCTTGGCCTTGGTGAGGGCTGGAAAGGCTTACCCTGGCCTGCCAGGGCCTTGCTCACTCCGCAACAAGGGAGTTGACTCAGCACTGGCTCCAGTCCACAGATTCAGGATGGGGGTGGGTAGGGACCCTCACTCCCACCTTCCCTGTCCTGCCTGCTCTGAGGCAGAGGGCTGGCATCACCTGCTTTGCTAACCCCCATGCATCCCCGAGGGGCCCCTTTCGTCTTTGGGAGAGCCTGGCTCCTCGGGCAGTGTACCCAACGCCCAGCAGGCTGCAGTTACCCAGCGGGAGACTGCCCACAGTCGGCTCTTACCCCCAGGACCAGCCAGCCTGGGCCCTGCCTCCCCCTGCTTAATCCCTCATCCCACCCTCAGGGGCCTCGGCATCACAGGGCCATACAGGGAAGAGAGCTGCCCAGGTGGCACCTGTAAAGCCCGCCTGTGACCCCCTGCTGTCCCTATCCCCCAGCTGAAGCCTGGCCTCAGAGCCCTGCACTGCCAGGAGTGCCAGTCATGACGTGCAGCTCCAGCTGCAGCCCCACATTCCCCCCAGGGACAGATGCCCCTCTGGGGAAGGCCACAGCAGCTGGACGTCGCTCAGGAATTGCTGTCCCCCAGAAGCATGAAGACACGGGCCCAACCCACAGCTACGCCTGGCACGTACAAGGCCCCATCGTCTCTGAGTGCCACCCCATGGTGGGCCTGCGGTGTGCTGCAGTGCCCTGTGCTCTCTCCTGTTGGCACCCACAAGCTTGACCTCCTCCCTAGGACCATGGTGCCAGAGACACCAAGGGCCACTCTCCAGTGCTGGCCCTGGCCTGCTGGGGTCTCAGGCTTGCCCACAGCCTACCACGGATAAGTACCTGGGGACCAGAGTCTGATGGGGCCAGGGTGAGGAGCCATGGGAGCCGGCCATGTCTCCCCGGGACCAGCTTCTGAGCACAGTGCCCACCCTGCCCCACCCGCCTCTCCAGGCCAGAGGGGATGCCCAGAGCATCAATGATTCATGCTTGTTTGTGGCTGCTGCAGCAGCAGGAACAAAAATAGCTCTGCCGTTGCCCCGCCCCACCAGAGGGGCAGGACAGGGCAGTGGGTGTATCTGCCCCGCCCCCAGCTGCTGTCTGTCCTTCCACCCAGTCCTTTGCACAGAAGCAGTGGGGGAAGGCTGCAGGTCTGCTGGCCCCTGGCCCCTCACTGCCTTGCTCAATCCCAAGCTGTGCCCACTCCAGGCGTGGGGTGGATGACCTCCTCAAATCATCCCAAGGACTCCAGTCTGAGGACCCCAGAGGACAGGATACCTGGGTGCTTCCCAGGGCAATGCGGGAGCAGCCAGGATTCTGTGGGGTTCTGGGTGGGGTGCAGGCTGGCCCCTCCTCCCAAGGATGGGGCAGGGAGGCTCAGCTTGGCAGCAGAGAAGCTGTACCTCACCCCCTGCTCCCCCGTTCAGCGGGTCTGATGTTCAAGATAGACTGAGGTGTCCCAAGAGGAGCTGGGAGGGCCGGGACACCTGTAGTCAGGGCACCCAATGATGGGGTCACCTGGGCTGCCTCCTTTGAGTCTTGGCTCCCCCAAGGCAACACATCCTTAGTAGGGCAGCCAGGGTCACTCTGGTCATGAGCTTCCTGTGACTGCTATAACAAATAACCACAATGCAGTGTGGAAAACCAGCACACATTTATTCCTTACAGTTCCAGGTATTGGTGGGGCCAGGTTCCTTCTGGAGTTTTCAGGGTAGATCTATGTCCTTGCCTTTTTCAGCTTCTGGAGGCCACCTGCCTCCCTTGGCTCACGGCCCTGCGTTGCTCTGGTGACCTCTGCTTCTGTCTTTCCATCATCTCTCCTGGACTCTGACCCTCCTGCCTCCCTCTTGTAAGGGCATTGGGCTCAACAGCTGAATCCAGGACCATCTGCCCATCTCAAGAGCCTTAATTCAACACAATCAGATCCTTAAAGTCCCTGTTACCTCGAAAGGTCCCAGAGTCCCAGGTTCTGGGGACCAGGATGTGGACCTCTCCGGAAGGCGTTTATGCAGCTACCACACCCAGTGACACAGATCGGCCCTCCCTTGGCCTGTTTTGTGCCTGGTCATTGCATCCTGCACCCAGGGTCCCAGTGCCAACGCACTCTGCACTGAGGTCCAGACAGAGCATGGGGAACTGACGAGAGTCAGGAGTGCTGGCTCCAGCCCTGGCGACGGTTCTCAGGCCTGCGGGCCTGGGCCTGTTTCCCCACCTGCACCGGAAGCCAACACTCCTCCTACCTCTTTCCAGCTCCCTGGACTGTGAGGATGGCAAGGACACTGGGTGAGGGGGTCCGAGCCGATGCTGTCCCCAGGTGACATGGCAGGAGAGAGCTGGCATTTGCCACTTTCTGACAGGGTCACCAGGGTTTCTGCCCAGTGCCCTGCAGCCAGACTGCATTGCTGGAACACTGCACTGCAGCCCTTGTGGCCCTCAGGAAGCAGGATAAGGGGAAGGAGGCTGCAATCCAGAGTTAAGAGAATGACCTCATCTGGTCATTTTTAAAATGAAAAATTTCGGTAGCTTGGCTGGAAAGGAGCAGGGGGAGCGCAGGATGCAAACAGGATGGGCCGCAGATAGGGCCCGAGGAGGGCACAGGGTGGGTGAACGCGCGCAGGGGGTCGGCCGGGGGCGGGCGGGACAGGGCTTGGCCGGGATCTGGGGAGGCCGAGGTTAAGCGCGCCATCGCAGGACTGGGATGGGGACGGGCAGCTCCCGGGCATCCGAGGTCAGGGCGCTGGAGGGGGCTGGGCAGGGCACACGCCCCAAGGGGCTGACGGGTCGGGGGCACACACGCACTAAGCGTCCTTCTAATTAGAAGAGGGTCGCTCCCCGCGACGCGCTACAGCCAAGCGGAAGGCGCGACTCGGCCACGCGAAGAGCCGGCCAACTCCGCGCCCGCGGGGCGCAGGCGCAGGGCGGGGCCGCGCGCGGACGTCACGGCGGCGGACGCCGGAAGCTGGGCTGGCGCGCGCCGTTGCCGGGCAACGGGCCGGCGCGGGCCGGGGCTCCCCGTTACAGCAGGCGGAGTCGGCTCCAGGGCCAAGGCGGGCGCAGGCCGGGCCCGACGCCAGTCCGAGTGCCCCTTCGGAGCCGCACGCCGGGCCCCCGCGGGTGTCTCGGCCGCCCCTCGGACCCGGCCCGGGGCTGCTTACGGCCCGCCCCGAGGGGCCACCCCGAGCCCCGCGACCCCACTCTCGGAGACCTCTGCGCGCCGCGGCCCAGGCCGGACCCCGCAGCTCGACCCCCGCCCGGGCCGATCCGTCCCCCCGCACCTCCTCGGTCTCCAGCACGCGCCGCTCTCGGACTGGCCGCGGGGGCGTGTGTAGGAGGAAGCCGGGCAGCCGCTCTGGTCACTCCGCCGGGCGGCCAGGCCGTGTACGTGGCTGTGTGCGTTCCGCAGCGGCACTGGGCCCGCGCAAAGCCGCTCGCACCCCCGAGGAAGCCCCCAGCAGCTACGGGGCAGCTGCGGGCGGCGCTCCGGCCCTGTCCCGCCCGGGCAGCGCCCGCACAGCCGTGTGGATGTCTCCTGAGCACCCTCCATCGCGTGCATGCGGGCCCGCGGTACCTGCATGCAAGGCCAGCAGGGGCTGGGGGGGCAGCCTGGCCAGATGCCCCGGCTAAGCAGGTCTCTGAGTGACCTCGCACAGGCAGCAGGCGAGCTCTCCGTCCACGAGATTTCTGAAGACAGACGGGTGCCTGCAAGTGAGGTGCCTGGGAGACAGAGCGGTGACGGTGTGGCGTGCTGGGGGGCCTGCCCCCGCCGTCCTCTGCTGGCGGGGGGCGCCAGGATCCTCGGGCACCGCGAGGGCTTTTCTACCTGCACTGCCAGTGGTCTGGACCCAGGAGAACCCAGCAGTGCCTGGGGGGACTTTGAAAGCTTTCAGGGCTCTCCGGCCAGGTCTGAACAATTCTCTCAGTTCTTTGAACTCCCAGAGAGGCCCACTGAACCGCAGCCACCGAGAACCGCCTCTGCCCACGGGGAGCATGGTGCTCACCAGCCTCACCAAGGTGGACCTTGGTTGACAGGAACCACTGCCGTCACACCTTCTGAGGTATTTCTAAAGCATTTGTCTTCACCACGCGGCACAGGAAGTGCTTAACCGTGGACAGGCCCACAGACCTCAGGATTTGGTGGGCTGGCTAGGGAGGGTCTGGTTTTCTCCTGGCCTCTGGCCGCATGGTCAGCTGCCCTGTCCTGTGCCAGGGAAGGAATAAGCCTGCAGAAGTGGGCGGCCCAGAGGGCAACTCAGGGGCTGGGCCACCTTCTGTGCCCTGTCCTGTGCCAGGGAAGGAATAAGTCTGCAGAAGTGGACGGCCCGGAGGGCAACTCAGGGGCTGGGCCACCTTCTGTGCCCTTTCCTCCCGGGTCTGGCCACACGGGCCTCCGCCTTCCAGTCTGCTGGGGCTCTGCTCTCCTGGCCCCGGGTCAGGGAACCCAGGGACAGAGCTTCTTGTTTGGAGTCCCATTTCATTCTGTGTGTGATGGCCAGACGCTGGAGAAGGCCAGCGTGCCCAGGCCCGTTCCCCGGCCCCTCACTCTGCCCTCCCCTGCCTGGCTGCCGGTGTTTACCTTGTGACTGCCGGGTGCCCTCCTTTTTCCTGTCTTTCTCTTCCCTTGTTACTCTTCTTTCTCGGCATCTCTCCACAAAAGGGTCACCCTAAAATCCTAAGAACACAGGAAGCAGAATGAAAAAGGGAGAAAAGAAAAGGTTTGCTGGGTCTTGTTTCCTAAACCAAACACTGTTTACCTGGACTTCGGACAAGAGCCACCCTGCTGTGACACTGGGCCTGAAAACAGTGTGATTGATCAGTCACAGAGAGATTCGATCATGACGCAAACTTTGCGGGAAACACTGGGTGAATGCGGAAACCTGCAGCCAGCTGATCTGAGCGTGGGTGCTGAGCCCTCATGCCTCGGGCCCTACCCGTCCTGACCTGGGCTGGGACCCACCGGACTGCCCACCCGCCTTCCAGCACTTCACACTCATTCACAGCCTACAAACTTCAGCTCTTTTCCCAAGGAGTGCCATCTTTATTGGATTTCTCCGCCAGTTAGCACTTCGGGCAGACACCCGCTCTTGCTCCCGCATCCCTGATGTGCTTGGTGAGCGTGGTGCCCTCCCCCGCCTTCCCACCCGCGCTGCGGCTCTCACGCTGTGGTTTATCCTGGCCCTGAGGTTCTAGGAGGGAACCTGTCACATTGTAGTAGCGGTAACTGTGAATATGATCATTTACAAACTTCATTTGTGCCAAGAGTATGTATTTAGAAAATGGTGACGTGTGCGTTCCCCTAACTTTGGTATGTTTTGTTTCTTTTTCCAGCCCACTCTCAGCTATGAGAACATCTTTAGGTTTGCCTTTCAAGAAGTCCCAGTCCAGCAGGCAACTGAAGATGTTCCCACCTTAGACTACTTCTTAGAAATGAGCAGTGAAGAGAAGCCTGGTCTTGAATCTGTACATAAATTGTGGTAATGAACTTAAATTGGAACTAATATTTCTTACAGCAATGTCTGCATGTATGTTTTTGGTTGATAAAGTGGAACTGTGAGGCATTATACGCTTGCCTTTCTACAGAGAGCGTTGTCTCTCCCGAAGTCCCCACAGGACTTTTGGGTTGTGGGGTCCCCACAGAGGGACCGGGTGGCACAGACTGATGGTCTGGCTGCGGGTCCTGCTCTCAGAGCCGCGTTCAGCCTCCTTCCCCACATCCCACTTCCAAGAGGCTCATGTGGAGCACAGGAGACCAGGCAGCACCCCATGTCTCAGTGTGAGTACTGGGGTCACAGGGGCCTTCTGGGGGGCTTGGCTGAGTGACCCTCCACCACAGAGAAAACACCCCAGTGTCCTGGAGGGACATTTCCAACCCATGGGGTCAGCTGGCCTGTGTGCACCCGGTGTTGCTGCGAGCCTGAGGGCCCCTGGGGCCGGTTCCCTGAGGGAAATCACAAAGGCCCTTTGCACCGGACCATTTTCCGGGACTGAGAGAAAACCGAAGTCCCCACAGGACTTTTGGGTTGTGGGGTCCCCACAGAGGGACCGGGTGGCACTCGAGTTTTGACTCGAGTGGGTAGGTCAGGGCCGACATGCGCTGGCTTCCCGGGGCCCTCTGCGTGCTCTGCCGAGCTGGCCGAGACTTCGTCGGGGGCACCCAGAGACGTGGGCGGTCCTGGGAGGGGGGCCTGGGGTGGGGGCTGTCCGGGAGGGAAGGTCGGTGTCGCCTCTGGCTGAGGCACAGGCCGCGGAACTCGTGCTCCTGCCGGCGAACAGGCCCAGGATCCCTCCGTGCACCCCCGCCAGCGCCGTCTTGGACGCCGGAGCTCTGCCCCTCAGGCAGCAAGACCGGCACCGTGTCTGGCCCTGCGGAGCTCCCGACCCCAGGAGGAGACTGGCGAGGAAATAACACCAGGCGCGCCCTGCACAGAGAGGGGCGAGCTCCTGAGGGCACTGCCACCCGCGCCCGCCGCTTCTGTCCCAGGGCCGCTGGTCACTTCACTCATGCGCCTCTCTTCCAGCTCTGAACCTAGGAGCCTCTGGAGAGCTCTTCAGAGCACGGACGGCTCCCGTGCCTCCCGACGCCTGCGGAGCGGGTCCCACTGCCAGGAGAGCCTCTTTCTTGTCCTCGGAGTAGATGCTGCTCAGAAGGTGAGGTGACGCGGGCAGGGCTGGCACACCCTGGAGAGCCACCCGCCTGGGGGCAGGGGTGGGCGGCCTTGTTGCTGGGAACAGCGGCCTGGTCTGCAGACAGCCCTCCGGCAGTGGCTTCCCCCAGCGCGCCCACCACTGGGGCGGGAAGGGGCGAGGCTGTGCTCCTGGGCGCTAGGCCCTGCCCTGTGCGGGGGCTCCTGGGTGAGTCTGCACCCTGGACGCTGACCGGTGGTGCCCATGGGTGAGAGTGTGGGCAGCAGAAGGGGGCAGGTGGAGGCATGCAGTTAGCCGTGAGGGTCCTGAGGCGGAGCCAGGTCACCAGCCTGCCTCAACTTACCTGTGGGTGGGCTCGTAAGTCATCAAAGATATGTGACTTTGTGAGGCCGGCTTTCAGCAATCAAGTTGACAAAGACCGTTTTCCATTTTTAAGTGTTATAGCAATTTTCAAACATGGAAAACACAAAAGGGGCCAGCAGGCAGGCAGGCCGGCCATCCCGGGGAAGTTGGCCGAAGGGCTGCACCCGGCTGGCCAGAAAGTGAGGGGCTGGGTGGAGCCAGAGCCCCCTGAGGGCCGGCCTGGCTGTGTCTTCCTGCAGGGGAAACTCCAGGAGGCTGCCGAAGAGGAGACTTGGTTGGGGGCAGCCGCAGGCCTAGCAGGGCCAGGGGTCCATCCTGCAGGTGGCAGCCAAGACTGCATTGTGGAGGCCAAGGGGCAGCACAGGCCTTGGAGGGGGCGCCATGAGCTGGATGACGGGGGTGTGGGGACGGGTGTCCACCCCGGACCCTGAGTGGGTGCTGAGCCAGAGCCGCCTTGCCGTGTGCAGGGCGCTGGTGAAGGGAGCTGGGTCAGTGATGGCCCTCCACGCTGCCTCCCGTGCTGACCGTCGCTTGTCTCCTTAGAACCTTTCTAGAGGCCAGGGTCACACTGGGGAAGGTTCCGACCTCGAAGGGCCCAAAGAGCTTGGTGTGCACAGCGTCCGTCTGCACCACTGTAGAGCCCTGATCCAGACCAAGGTGAGCTGCCCCAGGGACAGGCCGAGGGGAGGCTGTGCCGGCCACTTGGAGCTCATGTTTGAGTTGCTCGCTTAATTCAGCTCTTGTGGACTGGTGAGAAGTGGGCCTTCCCAGCATCTAGGACAAAAGCAAAGCTTCACTGCAGTGCAGCCATGCCATGTGCAAAGATGCGTGGGGCAGGGCGCGGGAAGCGGGCAGGACCAGCCACGGCTGAGGGACAGCTGCAGAGTCTCAGCGGCAGAAAGGGCGGGTGGGGAAGGAGCATCTTGCCCTACAGGGGAGGCTTTCCCGGGAACAGGGCCTTCTGCCCACCCTCAGACCAGGTGTCAGGGGGAAGGGCACCACGAGCAGGCCCGGCACCTTGCCTCCCCGCTTCAGCCTGGAAGGACCTCCCACCTCCTGGGGCCCATGCTGCCTGGGGCCCCGGAGCATGTTGGGGCCCACCCTGTATGCCCCCCACCCCAGGGAGAAGGCCGGAGTGGTACATGGTGGTGTGTCCGCCGTGGGAACCTGCTTTGGCCGTGGTGTGGACAGTGCTGGGGAGGGGAGGGACCCAGCGGAGAACTGGGGTACCAGCAGGAGTGGTGTGGCAGCAGTGGGTGACAGGCACTGTGGTGTAGAGGCTGTCCCAGGGTGCCAGAGCCCTGTGTCCATCTGCTCTTCGGAAGACAGCACGGGGCAGGAGAAACGTCTAGAAGGGCCATCATAGAGCAACAAGCATGGAAGTGTCCACAGCAGCGCCAATCAGGGCAGCCTGCACGGGGACCGCATCCACGCTAGTCGTCAGGTGGAAACTGTGTCAGTCCCGGGGGACATTGCTGGGAGAGAGCAGGCAGGGCAGTGGTGTCCTCCACCTAGAGCGCCGGTCACAGCACAAGGGCTGTGTGGTGCCACCTCAGAAATGGGCCCAGCACCATGCCGGTGGCTGTGGCCGGGGCTGCAGGGCTGCAGGCTGGGCGAGGCTGGGTGGCGGGCCTGCCGGCTTCTGGCCACGTGCGCTTGTACCTGACCGCATCCTCTCTCCCGTCAGCTCTCAGGGACGCCTGGGGGCAGGCCGGGGAGCCTGATCACATACAGCCTCTCTCTGAAGACCCCCATACGCGGAAGCCAGCAATATATCGCAATTCCAGGGAAGAAGAAGCTTTTCACTGCACGGAACCTGAAAATGACCTTGTTTAATAGTGATGTTTGCTAAAGTGGGAGTGCTTTGTACCTTTGAGGAATTTTGCATTTTCTTACTGTCCTGGAAACCAGAACTATTTTGTGGACGGTTCCTGGGATCTTCATGGAAGCCATCCTGCACCCATCGGCTTCTCGTGGGTCCCATCAGTTTAGCTGGAGGGCGTGTTGTTCAGCAGAGCCAGGCCTCACCACGAACGTGAGTGAAGGTGGCACTGCCCGTGTGAGTGCTGCTGGCCCCTGGGGGCGCCTGAGAGGGACCCCAGGCCTGGCTGCCTGCGCTGCTCTGCCTTGGACAGCCCAGGAAGCCTCACTCGCCGGTGGGACAGCTGTCGAGGCACCTACGAGGTCCTGAGTGTGCCCCTGTCACACCTCAGCCCTTGCCTGGTGTTCAGGCAGCCACAGGCATGCGGACTGAAAGGCTGCCTCACCCACAGCCCTGAGCCCCCACCCTGGCCTGCGCCTGTGCCTGCCCCCCCCCCAGCCAGCAGGCTTCCCCTGGCTTCAGCTAGGAATCCTCCTGATGCCAGAGCCCAGCTGTCGGCTCTGACTTTTGTAAAATTTTATTAAACTAAACAGCCTGGATGAGACTGTTCTTGTTAATTCGTCTGCTGTGCAGGAACTGGTGCCAGAAACCCTGCGTCCCAGCCTGCCCCTGCCCCCACCCAGCAGAGGCTTGGGGTCCCCGGCCACTGCTGCCCCGCCAGGGAGGGCCCCAGCTGCGGGTGAGAGAACACCGCCAGGGGCTGGCCCTGGGGGCTGCCATCAGGGCAGGTGTCAGACCCAAACGGGTATGGCAGGGACGCGCAGTGGCCAGCAGATACCCTGTCACGCAGGGTTTTCGGCCAGCTTGCCTGGGCCACTCCACCAGATCCCACATGGTTTTGAGGCTCATATTAGGGGATGAAGGGTTTTGGGTGCCATGTAAGGGCAGGCTGTCTTAATGTCTCCTTTTCAGTGGAAGGAGGTAGGGGTTTGGAAACGGCTTTTCTGCCATGCTGCTTCCATCAAAGGGTAGTGTCCAACCTTTGGTTAAAGGGAGACTTGGCAACTCAAACATGGCTCAGCTTGCCAGCTTGGATGCTGGCATTTTGCTGCTCCCACAGCTGTGTTCCTCACTCTGCTGGCTGTAGCTGGTGCCTCGGACCTCAGAAAGCCTGCCCCTCCCGACCCCCAGCCAGCCCAGTGTCCAGCCGGGTCTCACGAGGCTTTGTTAGGCAGTTGCAGACCAGCAGGTCCCACATAACTTTGTGCCCGCCCCAACCTCTGCTCCCGAGCTGCCTTTCCAGCGAAGGGCACCACTACCCGCCCAGCTCCCAAGCCAGAAGCCACGGCTCCCCGGCTCCTGTCCACACGGATGTGAAGTCTGACTCTCAACTGTGTCCTGACGTCTGGGCATCTGCTTGAGGAAAGGGCTTCTGAGCTGGGTCAGGCTTACACACCTGGTCACCTCTGATTCACATGGACAAATCCCAAGAGACTGTCCTCTCCCCATGCCCAAAACATGCCCACTTAGCACAAAATTGCATAAGATAATCAGAGCTCAGCGTACAAAGAAACCCAGGACAATTCTAAGTGGTGGAAGAGGCCCCCTACCCTCTCCTCCCCAGGGGTGGGGTGGGAGAAGAGACCTAGGTGACGAATGAGAGACCTCCAATGGACAGCTGGGCTAGTAGAGGTGCCGCAGGGCGGGGCAGGCCTGGACCCAACCTCCAGCTCTTGGTCTTTGCGCAGAGCCCAGTGTAGAATGCCAAGAGCTCCATGGATGGAAGGAGAGCTGAGAGAAATTCTCCTAAAGTGTGAGGCCCCCAGGAAGAAGGCGGGGAGCTGGAGGGCTGAAACCCCTTAGCAGGCACCTGGGGATTCTGCTACCAAGTCTACAATTTGCACAGGGCAGCTGTGCTCTCCAGGGCATTCCAGGCCTTCAGAGTGGGGGGACCGCCCTCCACAGGCTGAGGAAGGGGCAGAGGAAAGACCCAGAATGGAGACAGAGAAGAGCCCCACAGTGGGCTACACACACAGCACCAGGCGCCAAGTAAGTGCAGGCTAGTCTCCAGAACCTCGCCAGCGCTCAGACCTCAGGTCCGGAGCACCAGTCCTGACACCACCCTGTGGACATGTGCCATCCTCACTGAAGCTGCAGCAAAGTGCAGACCCAGCTTGATGGCCTCCCGGGAACCTGAAGGCTGAATACAATTTGGTTCTTTTATGCAAAACATCCAATGTACAGTAAAATGTACTAGATAATGAAAATTTTGGAAGAAAATGTGACCCACAGTCAGCAGAGCAGAACCAGAGGCGGCCCGTATGGTGAAAGTCAGACTGAAATAGCTCATAAGAGCCGCCCATAAGTGGCGATGGCCCAGTGAGCTGGAGAATTTCAGTAGAAACATGCAAGTTATAAAAAAAAAAAAAATGGAAATAATGCTAGGAATGGAGAACACAGGATCATAAACGAACAGTTTAGATGGGCTTAGCAGCAGAACAGATCAGTGAACCTGAAGGCAGATCAGCAGAAGATACCGAACAGAACGCGGAGGAGACACGGCAGAGTCCAGGGTCCAAGGGACGGCACAGACAGTCCGACCTGGGTAGAGCTGCAACCCCATAGCAGAAGCAGAGAGCAAATACTGGAGACTTAATGGCTAAGAACTTCCCAAAACTAAAGAAAGAATGCACAGAGCACAAATCTCTGCGACCGCAAATGGATAAATATGCAGAAAACCATACACAACCTCAGGACTGTGGGGCGGTCACACAAAGCCACACACACACACACACACACACACACACACATACACATGCGTGCACACACAGCGCAAAGCAGCAGGACTCAGCTGACTTTGACAGGACGTTTATTACTGATGGGCCAGAAGATTCAACTTAAGGACCAGTTACTGGCCAAACTGTGTGAATACGGGGGCTGTTGGCTGAGGACCCTCGGGAATTTCTTCTCTGACATGACGGCTGCTGGCTCTGCCTGTGAGCCCCACCTCCCCTGCTCCACGTGCCCTGAGCCGCGATGGTGGGGGTAGCAGCTTCCCCGAAGTCCTTCCTGGCCAAAGACAGCTGGCAGCGGCCACAGAAAACCCCTAGCCATGCCCCGCTGTGCTCAGACCCAGCCTCCCTTACCCCCTGCCCAGGCCCGGGGCGGAACACAGTGTACCTTCCTCCTGTGAGGTTCACAGGAGCTGCACCCGGAGCGCGTGGGGCCTGCCCTTCACATCCAAGCCCACTGTCGGTGGCTGGCCACCCGCCTCTGCTCCTCTCAGAACCGCAGGTGTCTCCGGGACAGCGTTCAGGTGCCCTTCAGCCGGCCGCCGAGGGCCCTGAGAGGGGTGGGGAGCAAGGCCCAGAAGAGCTGGGGGAGGGGCTGCCCAGCCTCCCTCCCAGCACGCCAGGGCCCAGTATGCGCGCCCTCTGCTTCTGAAGGCCGGCAGAACACACCGCAGCTGCTATCGAGACAGAGTGAATCCATCAGGACACAAAGTACCACTTTAGGTCTTTTGCTTATAAAATGCCTACACTTAAACTATTTTCCACCAGAAGGAAATACTCTGACTAGGGAGAAAGCTGCCTGTGCAGGCAGAGCCGGCCCTATATTTTGCTGGCAGCTTCTGGTCCCGGTGAGGCGCCCGAGGCCTCAGCCTGCGCCTGCTCCTTGCTTGGGCTCCAGGGCCACTGGCCATGCTCCCCACACTCATCCTGCGCCCCCATCCTGCTCTGGAGCCTGGGAGAACGCAGACGCGCCCTGGCCTGGGTAACACAGACTGCCCACTGAAACGACCAGGACAACGATGTGGCGGGAGACAAACGTATCTCCATTCTGTTTGCTGGGTACTTTTCTAATAAAGTGAGGTATACGTCGCTGATTACGAATGGTCATATGCACAAAAAAACCCTTCTGGCTGAGGCCTGGGGAGAAACACATTAGAATCGGGGAGCTGGGTGGGGCGAGGCGGGTGAGGACAGTCTTACTCGTAAGCCTGAGGAAAAGATCTAGAAGGGGTGGGTGGTCTCAGTGCTCATGGCAGGTCAGAGGGCGCATGCACTGCACCCCCGAGCTCGCCTAAGAGGCACCAACCCCACCCCCCTACCCACTGCCCCCAGTTGAGGGCCCATCGATGAATGTGTCCAGATTTCTTTAATCTTAATCTGAAAAAAATTTTGTCCCAGCACCAGTTCCAGAGAAAGTGTGAGCATCTTCCAAACTAGTGGGACAGACAGGCGCCCTTTTCAGACAGCCCAGCACACTGCAGCATCCGTGCAGCCGGCCAAGGGATCACGGTCCAGCAGCAAGGCGAGTGCTCACCTTAAAAATAAAACAGTAGTTACTTTACCAGCAAAATGGGTGTGCTCAGGAGTAGCAGAGACCTGCAGTCCAGGACATGCGAGCTACCGCGCCCAGGCAGGTGCCGCTGAGGAGCTGGCGCTTCGCCGGAGAGCTGCAGGGGCTGTTTTGAATGAAGTGTCTTGGAGGGATGTGCGAGGTCAGGGTGGTGACGGCGCCTCTGGCTAAGGTGCAGGGGTGGTGGGCTTCTTGAAGGAGATGCTGTGCACATCTTGCCCTGGTGGGGCCTGTGATTAACTATCCCTTCCTGTTGCTAATTTCTTCTTTGGGGTCCACCACTGAAAATTCCTGTAACTGGTGTGGGGTGCTCAGCAGCCCCTGATGGCCTCCTCTTACTGAGGGGGTCCTTCACTCATGTTCACACAAGGCAGCGGCTGTACCAGGTGGGCACCAGAAGGCAGCACCTTCCAGGGAAAGGCCAGTTGTATTGGGAAAACCTCACAAGACCCCGAGTCAGAGCCTCTGGAGGCCCTGCCCCAGACACCTGGGCACCTGAAGATCAACTGTACCACAGATCTGCAGGAGGGCTACACCTGACCTTCACCTCCAGCGCTTACACCTAGTAGGTGTACACAGACCTGCCAAAGCCTACACCAATTCCAGCAGAGACACGCTTGCACCACAGGCCTGGGGCCGAGGTGTCGCTGTGCAGGCCCTGGGCCCTGATGGCCTCTCGCGCACGCCACAGACGTCAGTGAGGTCATGACCGCAAATGCTGCCACCTGGGCGGGCAGTGAAGCTCGCCATGAGACAGGCAAGCTCTTATTTAAACCTTAAAAAATGAAACGCACCAACTGCAATCGTTTAGGCTGTAAAAGTTTCTAATGTAGCAGCAAAGAATGTTTACAGAAAAAATATACTTTTAAGGATATAGCTGAAAAATTCTAGAGATAAAAGTTTAAAAAATATATTTTAAGATAAAATATTGCCCCAAACATAAAAAACTTAATTTTTAAAAGTAAACATAAAGTTAAACGAGGCTGAGTGCATGTGGCAACTTGAGTCCTCCACGAAGCCACAGCAGGACACAGAGGGGCGAGGGTGCTGGGCTGGAGCGACCGGCCCCAGGACTGCCCAGCCGCTCAGGAGGGGCCGGGGTGGGGAGCAGACCGACCAGACTCCCCTCCAGACATGTTAGTCACAGGCAAGCCAGAGGCTGGCCCTGAGGCTGTGGGCGGCCAGCGTCCACAGACCGAGAGCTCTGGGCATCCATGGGTCTTACAAGTCCGCCTGCTTCGTGTCCCGTGGGCCGCACAGGCAGAGGCTCAGGTCTCTACCAGGATCTCCACCACGTGGTCCAGGTCGCCCAGGTCCGACCTGAAGCTGGAGCTGGGAGGTGGGGCGGCCGCGGAGGCGAAGGCCTGGAGCCCGTCTCCGCAGTGGCCCGCCACCCCTGTCAGCATGGCATCCAGGTCGTAGTAGGAGCTATCCGCGTCAGCAAACAGCTCTTCCACGGAGCCGGGGGTCTTGCTCTCCAGCGTCTCGAGTATTTGATCGAGAGACTTCTGGAAGCTTCCTCTGCTTCCGGGAGGGCTGTCCACTTCCAGGGGACCACTCTGCGGGCTCCCTGGGGCCTGTGCAGACGGGACCATGGCAGGTCCAGAAACCAGGTCCGGCGCGTGGCTGTCTCCCAGGTCAGGGCTGGGGCGCCACCCCTCCTGCTCCCGAGCTGCCGTGCGACAAAGGAGCTCCGTGGAGACCAGGCGGTCAAGGGGCGCCCGTCCGGCAGCCTGGGGCACCACCACCTGCCACGCCCCATCCTGGGTCATCTCTCTCTGAATGTGCCGGACAGTGTTGGCTATGAGGACAGAGCGGCAGAGACTGGGCTCGACCAGCATGTGGCACAGCTGCAGCTTGACCAGGGACATATCCAGGAGCGACTGCCGCTGCAGGCTGTGGCCAGCCAGGCCCCCTTCCACGGCTTCCTCGGGGTCCACGCACTTTCTCTTCAGCCCTCTTGTAAACATTGTGTCCTGTGGAAACAAGATGCGATTTAGAATGCCTCAGTCCCTAGCAGACACAGGGGACATGGATGGGAGGCGGGGTGGGGCAGCTCCAGCTACTGCGTTCCTGCAGGCCCATCTGTGGAGGGGTGCAAACCGCACACCTCTGAACAGCAGCACAACCAACTCCATCAGAAAAGGTGATGGGGCTAAAAGCAGGAGAAATTGTTTTTAATGAGCTGAAAACCTACACCAAAATTCTAAGGGTTGCTGCTTCTAAGACAAGAATTTGCGCAAAGCAGGATATCTGCCTACCGTGCAACCTGGCCAGACTCAGGGCCGTGGGGTGGGACAGGCGGGTGCAGTGAAGGGTCACGGTGCTGATGGTGGCGCCCTGGCTGCAGAGCCACCTCGAGTGTCACATGGGAGGCTCCCACCCCTCGCGGCCTTCAGAATGAAGTCCTTGCACAGTGGGACAGCCCTACAGAAAAGCTGCACAGGCGCAAGGCCCTGGGACCCCCGGGCGGCCACCACTCGGGAACCAGCCCCCCGGCCAATGCCTGACCACCACGTTCCCTCCCTCCCTCAAGGAGCAGCAGGCCCTAACTCTCCTGGGCTCAGTGCAGCAAGGGCCTCCATGCCTCCAGGCCACATCACCCCCATGCCAACCCTTGCCTCCCACAAAGCACCCAGCTGCTGTGGGGAGGCTGCTCTGTGTCTGCTCTTAGAAGCAAAAATACGAGGGACCAGTCCTTTTGAATGGATTCTGAGTGGAGAGATCTTCGAGGAATTAAAATCCAAGCAAGAGGGGCGGGGGCCTGGCTTCCCACTGCACCTGGCTGTGCACTGCGCTGGGCAGTCTGCCACACCCCAGCCTGCTGCCCATCAGGACCACCCTTTCTAGAACAAAGCTATGAGATAGTGCTCTCTCTCAGGTTTACCAAGTGCCTAAACATTTTTATCTCAAGTAATTTATCTGAGTTACTCATAAAGAGGTTAGAATCTTTTAAATATGCAAATTTTTAGATTTCCTTTTTATAAAATCAATCCTGTGGCTCCCAGGACTGCTGCTGGCCTATTACTGTGGCATGCCCAGGGGCTCCCCAAGAACTGGGGTGGGGGTGCTTAGGGCCCGGGGCCAAAGCTGAGACAGTTCTGCCAGGCCAGAAGAAAAGGCTGCCACCTGCCCTGGGGAACCCTCTGTAGGCCCGGCAGATCTCACTTCCCATGTATTTACTATTTAAAGACATTTTAAATTAAGTGACTTCTTGGGCATTTATCCCAGAGCAATGAAAACCAATGTTTCATGCAAAGACATGTGCAAGAATGTTCACAGTAGCTGTGCACGTAACAGCCCCTCCATGGGGAGTGGTCATCCTATGGCACACCCACACCACGTGCCACGCTCAGCACTACACAGAAGGGCCCATGCACGCGGCTGAGTGAGAAGCTGATGGCAAAGGGCGGCGCTGTGACCTGCCGTCTCTGTAACCTTCCCAACATGGCAGACGGGGCGAGCTCGGGGACATCTCGGCAGGGAGGGACTCGCCCGCTTCTGGACCGCGGGGAGTGGATCCAGGAGGCTGCACACACTCACACATGCTGAACAGAGGCTGGCTTCTGGGTGTGGGCGCTGCGTCCATGCGCCTTGTGTAGATGCCAACTCTGGGGAGGCAGGCGAAGCCTGTACCAGCTTCCTGTGGATCCAGACTTATCTCACAGCAAAAGGTCTAAGCAACTAAGGAGCCGCAGTGCACTCCCCTCCAAGACTAATTTCCCGACGAGCAGACCCGTCCTCACCCGCACAGCCCCTGAAACTGCCCGCCAGTCCGTCGTGACGCCCATACACACCAGCTCAGCAACTATTTTAAAATGAACAAAAGGAAGAGTTTACCGCCAAACACATGTAAAATATCTCAGCCACTTCTGGTTATAAGGATTCAGGTTTTCTTGGCTGCAAATTCGACTTTTACATTTCCCCCCCTTAATCACTCGTGTAAAAGTCATTGGCTTAAAATTGCCAAGTATGCTGAAAATACAAGATTACGTCAAACTATGAAGATAGCCTGTGTTGGGGGAAAAAGTCAAGTTCCAAGAGTTCCCCTGTGGTCGTGAACTTCACTTTTTGGCCCTTAGTATCTCATCCACCAGGTGTACAATTCCAACTCTGCACAATGAGCCATTTAATTTAGGGACCCAACCAAACTCATTCAAATGACATGACGCTCTAGTTTAGGGGTGAAGCTGCCTGCCTGCTGGCCTGTATCACACAGCTCTATAGAAGGTGGGGGATACCACGAGGGCTGGCGGGGTGACCACAGCTCACACACAGTGCCCAGCACCACCAGACTCTACCTGTTCCTCCAGGGGTCCTTGGAAAGCCCGGGGTGCACATTCATGAGTGGTCAACCCACTGGAAGCCCTTCAGCACAGACATGGGGGACAACACTAGGGTCAGGTCACTGCCAGGAGAGCAGCCTGACTGCCCTTGTTGACATGCTGAGGCTGACTGATGACCAGGTCCCCTGGGTACCAACCCCTCACTGCAGCAGCCTGCCCTGCATCACACCCGTGGGAAGGGCTGCCAGACCTCTACCCCAAAGGCTTCTCTAACAGGGCCCCAAGGCCGGGCTAGGTCATGGACTGAGGGCTTTGGGCTTGAGCCCAACCTAGGACACACAGGAGGGCCAAATGCGCTCCCCAAGCCATCCTGCGGGCCACCGGCTGCCCCAGCCCCCCAGGTGCCCGAGCCCCTTCCCCTGGGCAGTGCTCCCTTTCCTCTGCCTGGTGGTGGGGGCTGCATCCCTGGCCACAGCAGCTCTGATTATACACCCTTTGCTCTTCCCAGGAGGCCGCCTGTGTCACCAGGAAGAGCCCCGCAAGGTACAAGCCCGCGCTGACCCCTGCCCCTGCAGCCAGGCCTCCGCACTCTCCTCCCCTCCCGTGGAGCTTAGGCTCATCTCAGGTTTTGCCTGTCTTACCACGGTTTCCGCATCACATGCGACGGTGACGGGTGCTGCACTAATCCTTCCATGCAAACACAGCCAGCTGTACTGGCCCCTTACCCAGGGTGTTCACACCCACTCACTACCTTCCCGCGTGCGAGCTTTGGTTGTGTCGCTACTTCCAGTACTTGAGTTTCGATCTTATTCCTTAGAGATTGTACCAGGGCAAGGGGCAGGAGCATTTTTAAGGCACACGGTGAACACCTTCAAGCTGCTTCTGGGACAGCTGAGCCAGTGCTCTCCACCGGTTTTCTCCCCCACTGATTTTTCCCCTTCCCCTGGGCAGCGCTCCCCTCTCTCTGCCCCAGACTCTGAGCAGTAGGGCTGGGCAAGCCAGTGACAGACTCGCCTCTGACCTGTCACTGTGACCTCTGGCCACTGCCAAGCATCCAGTGAGCCTTGGTTTTTCAGACAAATGCACAGGAACACTCCTCGTTTCTGTCACACCGTCAGACTTGCTGAAATGCTTCATCAGAGAAAAACAGAAAGATGGAGCACGCGGAGCCACTTGGGGCTGCTCAGCCTGCCTGACATTTCTCAGAAGTTAGTATCAGAAAGTTAATTTGGGGTACTTTTGTTATGCGGAATGAAATACACAAAACTTTGCCTGGAAACATATTTCAATAGGAAGTTGAGGTGAACTTGCTTGTCCTCTTTCCATGAGAAAGCCGGCCACTACTTCTAGAAAAAGATCTTAATTGCCTTTTTACTCGATTTCAACTTTAATTATAAAACACAGTGAAACGTGAAATAAAAGAGTAGTTGTATGCAGGAAGCTGTCCCGTGCAAGCAACACAAGGTCCTGGGAAGGGGAAACGCAGCCAGAAAGTCCTCTTTGTGGACCAGAGCATCTCCCAGCAAACTGGTACCCGAAGACCTTTTTTCCTGGTACTCCTATTTTAGGGGCAATAAACTGCTGAAATGTAGGGTAAGCCTGCCTGTGACTTGTGGAAGGGAGTTTCTGGTACCTTCCCCAGTCGCAGCACGGCCACCTCCCAAGTCTGGCTGGCTGCTAGGCAGGGCAGGCACAAAGACCACAGACACGGTTCACTTAGCAGCCGGGGTCTGGAAACCCTCCTCCCCAACATCCAGTCCATCCCTGGTGCCGGTCTTGGGTGGACAGGGCAGCCTGGGCTAGCTGCACAGGAAGAGAGCCAGCCTCAGGCCACCCAAGGCTGGCATCACGCACTCCCTGACATTCCTGTAAAGACGAGCTGGTTACTGCACTTGGGGGAGAGAAGCCCTCGCAAAATATCTTCGATGTTCCTTTCCGAAGCCATTAACACCAAGAAACAAAGGAAAAGATCTCAAACTGAACACTCACAGGCAGGCCGCCTGCGAGAGGCCACCCTGCCCTCCTCGGGTCCAGAGAAGGGTGCTCCCGGCCGGGCCATCCTGGCGGGCATTATATTCCCAGCAAAGCCCGGTTTTGCTAGAGGGAAAATTCCAGTTTTCCACCGCTAACATCCTTCAGACCCCTCGTTCTACAAGGAACGCAGATGAGGAAGGAGACCTGGAAACGCGGCCAGGGAACCCCCGCGGTGATGGTAAGAGGGGGGCGGCGTGGGCAGGAGCGCGGGCAGCTGCGGGCACTGGTCGGGCACGGGCCCGCCGCGCGCCCGCCGGGAGGTCTTCGGCAGCGCCTCCGCGGGCAGCGCGCACCGCCCCTTCCCAAGCCGGGGGGAAGCCGGCAGCCCAGGAGCTCACCTCGGTGGTTCTCTTAGGAGGAGCCCCAGCGCTAGAGCCGACGAGCTGGTTCTTGGTTACAATGTTACCGAACAACCAAAGTTGAGGCGGTGGCGGCACGAGAAGGAATGCCCAGACGGCGGGCGACCGGCGGGGGCTGGCGGGGGCCCAGCGGCGGGGTCGCGCCCTCTCCCGTGACGCTCCCGTCCCGCGCCCCCTCCCGCCGGCGCCCAAGGCTGCCCGCGCTGGCCCGCAGCCCCCCGCGTCCCGGCCGCTCACCTCGCCGCCGCCACCGTCCGCGCCGCTCAGAGCCCACGCCCACGGAGGGGCGGGGCTGGGGGCGGGCCGGGCGGGCCGCGCCCACGAAGGGTCGCCTTGGCGCCCACCGCCCCGCCCTCTGATTGGCCAGGCGCGGAGGCGGGGCCTTGGTTCAAACCGCGGGCGGGGCCTAGCGGGCGAGTTCCCGCGCGGCCGCGTTGGCCGTTGGGGCCCGCGCCCTCGGCCGCCCCGCCCCCGCCGGCTCCCAGGTCCCCGCGCGCGGCTCTAGCGCGCCTGCGCCCGGTGACGGGGGCGGGTCGTTCAGGAGGGGCGGGGAGGTATCCGCCCTCTGGAAGTCCCGCTCAGGCTGGCGTGCTCTCGGGTTGTCCTGTAAGGAATGAAACCGTAAAAGGTGAAAGGACGTTAAAAAAAAATGATCACTTCTTAGTGGGAAAGTGTCAAAAAGGATACAAAACCCTGGATCCATAAATACAAGTAACATCTTGAGTGCAGGCCAGGGCTGCTGTGACAACCACGTGCAAGCCACAGTCCCCTGTGTCACGTGATGGGGGCCGGACGCAAGCAGCCTGCAGCACCCGTGGGAAGTGCTGTCAGAACCTGGGAGGTGGGGGCCCTGGCCCTACAGGCCCCTAGGGTAAGGGGCATCTGCGGAGACTCCAGAGGAAGGAGCGCATTCCAGGCAGGAGCGTGGCTGGGTGCGGTGGGAGGGAGTCTGTCACCCAGGTGTGGGTGAAATTGTAACATTTCCGGAGTATCTCTCCTGGCCTTAGTGCATCTGCATATCCTCAGGGGTGGAGAGAAGTTCATCTCACGTCACCTGGGCAACCGAGGGCGTGTCTGAACCTGAGAGATTTGAGGGAGGGGCCGGCCTGCTTGCTCCCTGGCTTCTTCCAGAGCAGGGGAGAAGGACGGCCCGGGACTGCAGTTTGTGAGCAATAAACGGGTTTTAAACTTTATTTCTCCCTTTCACTGATTTCGGTTTTTAGAGGTATTTTGCCCCGGGATTTCCTTTCCCCGGACAGGGGCATCTGTGAAGATTCCAGAGGAGAAAAGAATGTGCCTGGGTGCGGTGGGAGGGAGTCTGTCACCCCAGGGAAGTTTGGGGGGACTTGAATGGGTTGGAGAGCCCTGAAGGGTTGCGCAGTAGAGGGGTGGGTGCTGAACTGGGCTTGAAAGGAACTACTGCTGAGAATAGGTTTGCCCGTGGTGACCGTGGAAGTGTTAAACTCAACCCCCAACAGAAGTAGGAAGTCCAAGCAGGTCAGGTTCCCACCGTACTCTGGGAGTAAAGACTGGACGGTAAGAAATGTGATTACATGCCAATTAAAAATGCATGCATGCCGAAGGGAGTGGCAGGACGAGGGAAGAGTTTATTCCTAGAAACAGTCACACAGAAGGTTCCATTCTTCCGACCACAGGTGTCCTGCAACTGAATGCAAGAACGAACCAGTGGAAAGTGGACAAAGGATATTAATACACAGCTCAGAGCAGAAGAACCAAAATTCTCTTGAGCTAGTGAAAAGCTGCACAGCCTCAGAGTAAGAGCACACTGATGCCTGTTACACCACGCCAGGTACTTCAACATATGGATTTGGGGTTACTCGACCTGTAGCACATTTCTGGAAAAACAGATTAAATTAATAGTCAAGCACAACCATCAAGTGAACAGTCAATACAGGGATATCAGTTATAATTCTATATACAAGTAACAAACCATTATAAAATAAAATTTTAAAGTTTTTCATGGAAATTGACAGGTTGATTCTAAAATTTATAAGGAAATACAAAGGGCCAGGGCGAGCCAGAACAATCTTGTAGATCTGCAAAGCTGTGAGTTGGGGTGATCAGTTGCTTTGGAGAACCACGTCGGGGAAGCACGCACGGCCTCTAAGAACAGTTCTGCGGCTATGCGTGTGCCTCGAAGTGTGTACACAGGTTCACAAGGAGGTGTGTGCAGGTGTGTTTGTAGGAGGATTATCCATGACACCACCAAACTGCAAACAACTCAAATACTCCCAACAGGGAATGGACACGCAAAGCAGGGTATTCCAGCCACCGCACACCGTCAACTGAGAGAATAAGTAACCCTTGCTGTACACGACCAAGTGGTAGATCTCAAAACATAATGTTTAGAAGAAGAAGCCAGACTCCAAAGTGCACAGATGGAAAGTTTCAATCGGGGTGGGGGAGCTATGCGTGGATGGGGGTGTGAGGGGGTCACAGGGAGTCTGCTGGGTCCCCTGGTGACTGTATCTTGATCTGAGAGGAGATGGCTAATCTTTGTTTAATGTGCTCCATTTGGGAACATTCTCTGTTTGTGCCTCAATAAATAAGCTAATCGAAACATCTAAGGCAGGGCCCACAGGAGCTGCCCCAGTGCCACCTCAGGAGGCGCACCTGCTGTGGTGCCCAGGCTGGGCTGGGGCCTCAGTATCTATTTTGTACCCTTGGAATTACTTACTGTGCATGTGTATTACCTAGTTAAAGAATACAGCCTTTTCTTTAATAAATAAAAACATGCCGTCCAGCCTCACAGCTCGACCCCTTTGCCCAGGAATAGCCTTGCTGCATGGGACAGGAGATGAGGAGGTGTAGCCCCGATCTGCCCTGTCAACCCCTCAACTCCTGGGCTCAGCAGGCCCACACTGTGGGGAGTCCACTTCTCTGCCTCCGTGGTTGGGGCGGGGCAGCAATAGATCTGCTGCCAAATAAAATAGGATTTTATTTAATCAGAGGATTTAGCTTACCAATCCCATTTCATTTACCCAGCCCTCTGGATATGGCATGCTCAGAATTACACTTTGATAAGTCAAGTTTGCTTAAATTTCTAGAGCTTTTAACACATAAATGTGTGGCTTATTTTGGTGAGCTTTCCACAAGACACCTTTAAGCAGCTAGGCCTGGAAGTTTCATCATCTGTCGTCTGTACCATTTACAAAAAATGGGGGAAAAAAAAGAAGAATGAGGCTAAGAAAAGGCTTCCTTTGTATTGTTTGGTATTTTTATCAGGAGCCATGGTCACTAGCAAAGCTGTTGCCATTAAATCATAGAAAATGTCCCTGTAACTCCAGGGAAAGGAAATCCCAGGGCAAGATACCTCTAAAACTGAAATCAGTCAAAGGGAGAAATAAAGTTTAAAACCCATTTGTTGCTTACGAACTGCAGTCCCGGGCCGTCTCTTCCCTGCTTGAGCAGAAGCAAGCCCCCCCCCCCCTCACCTCTCAGGTTCCGATAAGTCCTTGGTTGCCCAGGTAATTGCCCATCCATACGGAGACGAACTACTTCTCTTTCTCCACCCCTGAGGAACGCCTGTTGATATGCAGATGCACTAAAGACAGGCGAGATATTCTGGAAATATTACAATTTTACTCACAGTCTCCATCTCGGATAATGCTGGACCTGCTGCAGGGACAGAAACCCACCCAGCTGCCCAGACAAAGAAGGGAAGCAGAGGGTCTGCGGGGGTCCAGGGCGTCAGGGAGGACAGGAAGCAGATTCTGGCCCTCGGCCTCCCCTGTCCTCCCACCCCAGCCCCAGCGAGCCCCTCCCACCTGTCCCCAGGGCTGCAGGGCGCAGTCCCAGGTGTCTGCCGGCTCCCGCGCCTGGGTCTCAGCTCCTGGTCCCTGCCCCGAGGACAGTGCGGATCACTATCGCATCCGGCCACTGGGGGGCCCGGTCTCCAGCTCCAGAGGCCCTGCCTGCCTCCCGGCTGAATCTCCAGAGGCTCCTCCTCTCCGGTCCCCCTGCTGGTTCCTCCTCTCCTCCCCCTTCAGATGTTGGGGCGCCCCAGGACCCAGTCATCAATCCGCTTCTCTGGCCACACCCACTCCCCAGGCAGCTTCGCACAGGTTCATGATGAAGCACCATCTACCCCACAACAAAGAATTACGACGCCTAATTGTAAGATTTGCCATTATTTCATGCACTGCTGGGGTAGACCGGTTTCTAAAACCAGCTCCCAAGGCTCACCACCGTAGTAAGCCCGGAACCTGGGACCCTGGTGAGGCCTCACTCTGTCTGTGCTGTTACAGGGCAGGTTGACCAGAATACCAGGCTTCCTGGAGGGCCTGACCTGGCCACACAGGCCCTTGAAGGAAGAGTTTTGAGGGCCCCCTGCTAGTTTTTGAGAATGGAGGGGCCTCGTGAGAAGGAACATGGGTAGTTCTTGCAGTCAATAGCCACAAGAACATGGGGACAAGAAAGGACCCCTAGCTCCAGAGAGTAGGTGGCTGCCCACCGCCATCCACTGCATTGCTGCGTGTCTGACCCCCAGACTGTGATCTGAAATGCAGGTGTAGTTTCGAACCAGTACGCTTGTGGTGACAGAAATGGAAAGCTCACCAAGGAAGAGCGGCTGCTACTTAGCCCACGGCCCCTGGGTGAGACTCGCCTGGCTCCCTGACTCAGCAAGCGAGTGCTGTTGCACACACATCCATGTGACCCAAATGCACCCCTCCAGTCTTGCCCCGAGCTCCAACCCAACATGTTCACCAGCTCCTCCCTACTACATCTCCCACCCCCACCCCCTCACCCCCATTCTCATGGATGTCGTGAAACTTAGCACATTGGAATCAGAAGTCTTACCCCCACCCAAGACTTCCCAGCCTAGCCCCTGGCTCCATTAGCCACTCAACACTCGACCAAAAACCTTGGGGTCCTCCCGATACGTCTCTAATGCTCACACTCACCCGTCTGCCAGCCCCAGTCCTCAGCTCAGCCCTTAAACAGATACAGAGCCTGCCCACTTCTGCCCTTTCACTGTTGCCACCCTGTTCAGACCTGTGCACGGACCCTCGCACACCTGGGAACCCACTCCCACGCTCCCACTTTCCAGAACCTGCCAGCCACCTGCCTCAGGAGCTGAGTCAACCCCCTGCCAATGGTCAGCTCTGGCCACTTGCTCAAGGTCTCAGAGAGTAAGTGACAGCAATGGGGTTGGAGTTTGAACCCAGGATGTGAGGCTCCAGCGTGTGTCACACGTGGGTCCCCACCAC